TGTGAAAACCACGTGCCTTTTTCTCTTCCTACATACAGGCAGCTCTGACTCTCACAGAATCAAGCACACACATCGAGAGCAGCACAACAGACGTGATGACACAACGGGATGCAATACAGATATCATTTGCTAAGCAGACTCCTGGAGTCTGGTAGGCAAGCTTCCCTGCCATCACTTGCACTACCAGGGAGAGAGAAACTCAGTTTCATTCTTTCCAGACCTGGGAAACTCAACCTTAAGAACTAATTATACAGCCAAAGACACCCTCAGCAGTTAAGATATCCTTGGGGGATTTTTTTGGTCCACTAGAAGTTAACTGTCCTACCAAGAGAAAATTCACTTTCCTCTGGCCCCGTTCCCACACACACTCCCTACAGCTATTTTCACCCACGCCACAGCTCTTTTTAACTGTGTTTAAAAAGCTGAGAGCGAGAGAAATGTGCTGCTGCTGCTGCTAGTGCTCCTCCTCCTCAGGTGGGCGGGTTGGTAGCTGGTCAGTTTTCTGCAGCATTTCTGATTGCTGAATGCGTGGGAAGCCAAGAGCAGGGAGGGAAGGAAGCGGCCCTCTTAGGGAAGGAGGCATATCAGAGCAAGTGGGAAGCAAATAGCCCCTTCCCACCTGCACATGTGCAATTATGTGCAATTGAAAAACTAATACAATAGATCTGCAAGCGGAGGTTTCCAAGCTGTGGTCCTAAAAGGTATCAAACAGCTTGGGTCTCAAAGCCAGATTCGGGGGTGACCAGATCTCTGGGAAGACAGCATTTTTCACCCACGAAGAACAGGCTCGTGGGGAGGGAAAGGAGGAGGGAAGAGGGCGTTCCTCACAGTTATGGCTTTGTACGTAGGCGGAGGGTGGTTCGAGGAGCGGAATGACAGATTGCTTGTGGCAGCAGGGAAGAAAGATGTAGGCGGGTGTTTGCCCAGGGTCCCGTCTAACCCAGGGAGTACTGGCAGGGTGGATGCAGCATGAGTGGTATGTCTAAGCCGGGCTGGTGGGAGGAGAGGAACTCGCTGGTGGATGGACCTCGCTCGGATCCTCCCTCCCTGTCTCATCAACACGGCAGCATCTGCAGCAGCACCCAGCCACCCCCACACTTTCCCCCGGTGCCCTCTGAGGCCAAAGGAAAATGGAAAGTACTTCGCTCACACAGCTTCATTATGGATTTGCTTTCATCCTTTTCCAAACACTTCTAGTTCCCCACTGATAAGATGCAAATTAACTGTTGAAATAAAAAAGGGGGGGGGGGAAAGTTGATTTTTTTTTCCCCCTCCTTCCTCACACGCTTTCTTGTAACAGGAGGCATTCACTCCTGCATGCCATTAGCTGTGCCCTCAGCCCAAATCTATGATTTCAGATGTTGCGTGGAGCCCCAGGGAAGGCACTCTGTACAATGAGATTACTCATGTTACAGACAAAAGCAAAATTTTCCTTCTCCATATTTCATAGGTGTTTTTGGTGTTTCAGTCCCTCCCTGGGCTGGCCTACTGTTAGAGAGTGGAGGAACAGATTAGTTTTCTGCTTATTTTAAGGCTACTTCTGCTCTCAATGACGTTACTGGAAGCCTCTCCACTGCAGACCTGAGGCTTTAGTATTTGGCATCCAAGTTGGCACAAGGAAATTTCTGCCTGTGTCACCTGTGGAGGTGCTTTAGAGTGCTGCCAACTGAGACTGGACTGAGAAATAACAATGTGAGGATTGTTTGTCAGCACAGTAATAACGAGTTAGCAGGGATGAGCTGGAAATTTTCCCATTCTGTTCCTCAAGCCTTCACAGACTCATTTTTCCTTACCTTCACACGCTGTAAGGATGCACTTGCTACCCACACTCAGAGCAATTAGGTACCAGCTATTAGACCAGCAGAGGAAAAGATTAAATTTACAGCAAGCCTGGGCACAGGAGCACGGGACAGGATGAAGTACTTGTACCATTTATTATCTGGTCTTGGTCAAGTACACAGGGAGCTCTCAGAGCCAGCTGAGAGGCACAAGTTAATGATTAACTAGGGATATGCAGGTGGCACACAGAAAGCAGCTGAGCTGCTCTTGGAATCCTTCTAGGGAGCAAGAGTTCCCGTATTCTAAAGTTATTTTTTTTTTCTGGAAAAGAAACCAAAAAACCCCAGAAACAAAACCTGAAAACATCTGCTCAATTCTGAAGTCCTCCTACAGTCTGCAAGTTGTTTTCTCTTTCCAAACCTGCTGAGTGCACTGCCAGGAAATTTTTCCAGGGGGAGGAATTACAACCTGCTTATCCTTCTGGCTATGGCACTTGTACTCCCTGAGTTCCTGGCTTGGTTACTAGGTGTGCTGCTCACCTCCAGTATATCCAGTCTCTTGCAACCCTCTTTGCCAATATTAAATCATCCATAAACTCCCAGGTTAAAGGTCATCTCATTCCACTTATTCTCATGCAACTCCATTATTTTCACTCTTCTTCCTATTTCTACTTATAGAAGTCTTTCATTTATCTTTTAGAAAACATTTTCACTTTGATATTCCTCTCTGCAAAAAATGGGGTGTGCAGGAGAACTATGAAAAAGCAGAATGATATGCGAGTTACTTTTTGGATGGGATTGCAGTCAACTAAATGGCCGTCTGTGATAAAATCACAATTTCCTAACACCTAGCACCCCCCTAAAAAAACTATAGGAAAATTCAAGCCATCACCAGCATGTTTAAAAATGAAGAACACTAAGCTCAAAGAAGATGGCTCTTCTGTCACCACCCCTTCTTCTTGAAAGCAATTTATATTAAAAAAAAAAAAAGAAATAAAGGATTTTTAAGAAAACATTGAGCATAAATTCAGTGTCACCACCATGGAAAGAAATCAGCAGCTGTTGCAAGACAATGCTTGCTGCTACTTCATTGCTTACAAATGAGTAGGCCCTGCTCTTGCCCTAAATCAGACCTACAGCTGGAATACCACAGAGAAAGGGTCTACACCATTATTTATACTGAACTCAGAGGGAGAATAGTTTAAAATCAGCATAAGTAAAAGAAGAATCAGATCACCGACTTCTATTTTGGACCCTTGAAACAGACACCCTGTGAAATCATGTCCTGATCACAGCCTTGCCCACGTACAAATGGGATTTGTTAAGAGATTTCCAGGGGTTTCAGACGGCCTCCACCTGCTCTTACCCAAGGTTAGTTTCCTCACACCCATTTCTTCATTTCCACACCACCGCTAGCAAAAAAGATTATCTGACAGAAAGGTTCTACTTCTATTTGTCTGTGAAATGCATAGACTTTCACACATAGGATATAAAGAACAAAAATGTTACCTGCTTGTCAGACTCCCCGTTATTGGTTAGGCCTGGATGAGAGATGTAGAGCTATCCTCAAAAAAAAAAAAAAAATTAAAATATGTATCTAAGTCAGGGTTCAAGTTTGGCAACTGGGATAATTTGGTGTCCTTTAGACTGGTTTAGATTTAATTTCATGGTACTTGGTGTAAAGCAGCATACAGGGCTGTATATACTCAAGATGACTCTAATAAGCTACATCATTGATTATCATATAACCTTTAGGTGAAAGTTTTAATAGTCTGGATTGCCTAATGAATTATGCAATTCATTGGTTTGTAGTAGTCTCCCAGTGACTGCAAAAGCACCTCATGTCCTGTTCTCAGTTATTTTTTGTTCAGAGAGTACAAGACTGAAAACTGAGACTGCATTAATACACAAATGTTCTGTATCTCTTTTTTTAATGCATATTTAGTTTGATTAAGACTTTTACAACCAAATTTAATACAGCCTGAGAGTCATTGCAATGGAAATGCCAACACAGATGACGCTGCTCTAAGCAGAGGCTGAATCATTTCTCGAAACGAAGAGCAAGGTTGCCCTCTGGGGACATTTTTAGAAGTGCTTCTGAGAGCTGGGATTTTTTTGTTCCAGCAAAATATATTAGCTAAAAGATTTTAAGATTGTTTGGATTTTTTTAATACTAATGTGAGTCAAGACAGCTGGTGCTAAGAACTTGCTACACCGAGAGATGATGAACCCACGTTTCTGCCTAGTGCACTGTATTGTCATTTATTTCAGTATCAGTCTCATGCTGATCATGTCAAGCCTGAGAAACAAAATTCATGGAATGGTCTTAGTTATGGAAATCAAAGTGAATTTAGCACTATGAACTCCTAACATGATGGCCATAAATTTTCAAGTGCCTTAATACTCTGTTTGGGTTTTAATATAAATAATAATTAAAAAAAAAAAAGAGGCAATTTTCCCATTTGCAGTTTCTGAGTCTATTTATGCTGAACACACACATGCTGTGTTTGAGCTCACAGCTGTCTGAGCTGCTGTCAGGGCAGTAACCATGCTAGTGCTCAATCCATGTATTCACCTTCACTTACAAGCAGTTCTTAGTGCGAGGTCACATGAGAGCAGCTCCTTAATCCCACCTCACTCGCTGTCTTGTGTCAGTAGCTGGGGGGTGTGGGGTAGCACAGGTGTGTCCACAGGGTACAAGGGATGAAGAGAAACCAGGAGGTCTGAAATTAAGAAACCGGTTTTACCGCTGAAAATTAACAAACCACTAGAATAAAGTTTCAGTCCACAAAGCTGAGCTCTGAAAGCGGTTTGGCAACGCCAGCTTGCCCCACTTTGGGCAGCAACAAGCATGGTTTGTTATTGCTACACGCAACATCATTGCTTCACTGACAGAGGAACTGTATCACCTCGCGCCCTCACACCTCCCGGCCTCATTCCGGACGGGGAACAGGTAGGAAAACCCCAGGTAAGGAACCTGCCTTTACCTGTGCAAAGGGGTTGTTCGGGGGGGTAGGGGGACGGCAGGCGGCCGCCGACCTCCGGGCTCCCCCCTCAGGTAGCGAGGGCGGGAGGGCGAGCGGGGAAAGGGGACCAGAGCTCAGCGGCCCCTCCTCAGAGCCAGTCCCGGGACTGGAGGAGCCGCTCCCGGTCCGGGATGCGGCGGCGTCCCCTCAGAACCCCGCGCATGCGCCCGTCCCGCCCCGGTGCCGCTGCGCGCCGGTGCCGGCTGTGCCGCGGCGGGGCCGCCATGGCGGGGCGGGTGCTGCGCGCGCTGCCCAGGTAACGGGGCCGCCCCGGCGGGCGGGAAATGGCGCCGGCGGGAGCCGGGGGCAGGCGGGACGGGCCGGCCGCGGAGCGCGGCCCCGCAGCTGCTGCGCCTCGCGACTTAGGCCTAGATTAGCCAGGCCTGGGCTGACTTCCCCGTGCTAAAGCGAGCATGCGATTTAAAACCAGCGTAGGATGCCGGGGCATTGACATATAACATGTAGTTGGCTGGGTTTGTGCGCTTAAGTTCCTCGTCCCGGGGGTCTGGCGTCTGGGCAGCGCCATCGATAGCTGCCTTCCTCAGTGACAATTAAGAAATAAAACGAGTGACAGGGGCACAGAATGCCCTGGTCCGGATCTCTCCTGTCACCCACAGAAACTCGAGCCTCTTAGACAAACTGTGTAAATACATGTACACATGAGGGCAGGTTTGTGCAATGGAACCTTTGGAAATACACAAGGTTTTGACAGGACCGTTTTTGGTTGGTTTGTTTGTTTTTCCCTTGGGTTTTTTTGTTTGTTTGTTTGTTTGTTTGTTTTTAGTGCCAGTACTTAAACATCCAGAAAAAGGCAGTAAACCTTTAAAGGACACACACTGTTAACTATCATTCATATCCCCCAAACCCTCTGTCTTTCCAGGTTCTCCTGACTTGAAAACATTAGTAGTTGACATTGGTATCTGCTGTCTGTTTACTAGTAAGCAAGGAATTTGCAACTGTTTGGATAACAAAATTGTACCCTAATTTGCTTGGTTTTAAAAAGGAGAATGTAAAACACTTGCGTTCAGAAGTTTTTCTGCCACTGCTTTGCCTAACCCAGCAGTCAGATATCTGGGGATTGTGTGGCTGGTTTATGGTTTTATCTGTCTTTTTAATATTTCTGTTTTAGGCTGAAGACAGTCAACAGACTGCAAGTAATATTACAACATTTGGTAAGGACAGCATCTTGTTTGACTGAATTGGAAGCTTTCAGGACTCCTTAACTCCCTCAAGACAGACAGCACATGCAGCTTCTAATGTGTCTGCTCACTGTAGTTCTGAAAGCTGTCATTTATTGCTTAGGCACCGTATCGTCCACATCTTTGAGCACTTTGTTAAAAGTTTCTATTATATTGTAAATTAAAGCTTAATTATTTTGGCTTTACTTACCTTAATAGATAGTTTCTGTGTTAGCTTCCCTAAATTCCTTAAATATCATCCCACTGTGAGTTTGAAATCAATTGTGAAAATAGTTCACTGATTTGTTTTCTACTGTTAAAAGTTACTTACAGACAAAGCAATGTGTACGTTTGAGTGTCAAACTGCCAGTAGGCACACATGGCACTGTCATTGTTCTAATAGTTGCAGGTATTTTCAGAATGTCAGTTTTAAGGAATTGTGGTTTTATATTGATGTTTGGGTGTTTTTTGATTGGTTGGTTTTTGTTTGGTTGTTCTTCTTAATTTCACTTCTCTCAAATGTCATTGTTAAAAATGTGTGGCCAAAAAAGTTGCCTGAGATTTATTACTCTGAAGGCCTCAAACATGAAGCAGTTTCAAAAGAACTGCAAATAAAACTTGAAGCACAGTGGGAAAGTGTACAATTAGTATACAATGGCAAAATGCATATTTTATGATCTTAAATAATGAATTTTAAGAATATATTTCCATAAACACTTTTGTATGTTACTCAAGTTATCTGACTGATGACACTTGCTATATTTATTTGGTTTTGCATGTACAGAAAATGTCAAACCAAACAGATTCAACAGCTGAAGTGTTGTTGGAAAAGAGAGGAGGTGCAGGCATAATAACTTTGAATAGACCCAAGGCTCTCAATGCACTAAATCTTCCTATGATCCAACAAATTTACCCACAACTAAAGGTTAGTATCTCCACTTCTCCCCATCCACTATACATATCTTATTTGAAACCAATTTTAAAATACAGTTTGACACTTCTTAGTATACTGATTTAAAGAATGAAAGTCTGTGTGAGTGCATTGGCTGATGAGCTCAGATTTATAGGATGAGAAGAGACAGTTTCAAGCAAGTTAGAAAGGGAAAACATCAAAGAAACAAGCTGTCAGACAAAGTTAAATTTAGCATCTCCATGGATAAATGAACATCCATATTAGTACCAGAATGAATTCAAAAAAAGCATTTGTATGTTCCTTTAGGCAACACCCAGCTGGTCAGTTGGCATGCACAAATTTCAGTCTATACAGTGGTGTTGCCTCTTGATTGGATGCATGTTTTTTGGGGAGGCTGCCGTGGCTGAAATAAAAGGTACAAACCATTAGGAAGCAAGGTGCTGTCAGCATCATTCCTTAAATGAGGAATTCATGGATTTACAGGCACTGTTTCCACAAGCTAGTGAGGTACTGTGAGATTTCAAGAATGCAAATAGTCCTTTTTAATTTAATGGTACTGTTTATCGTGTGCACAAACTCATTAGATACCAGTTGGATAGTTGCCTGCCTTTTGGTATTTTAATAGGTGGTTGTGTTGCAAATTTGTGCACTCCTTGGAGAATATTTAAAGAAAGAAATACTTAATCTGTAGTACTTGAGTACCTTGCTTTGTTTGAAGCACAGCCTTAAAAGGTGTCATAATTTTAAGTGCAGTTGCTGGTATACAGAAATATCATGTTTCTCTTTTATCTGGGTTCACTTAATTAAGTGACATATAACCAGTTTAAGAGGGAGGGTGGAATGCCTGAAAAAGGCATCTTTTTCTCTTAAAGCTGCACCTCTGCTGAAGTCAGGTACCAGTGCATTTAATTGAGGAGAAAAAAAAATCCAAACCCCATGGTCTTTATACCTAACAAAACATATGTGGACAAAGGGATTTGATCCATTTCTTCACTGGCGTAGATTGCAGTCATTTTGGCAAAACCCATCAAAAATTTAAATGCTGATTTCTTCGCCAGGCATCTTAGATTTACACAGCTTTCACGATTTGGCCAGAAATATCATTATCCATCTTCAATACTCCCAGCTTTCTGCCCCAGCCTTGTGTTCCCGTTGGGATCGATGTCAGGCCCTGTTTCAGGAGGTGCTGCCTTTCTTCAGGGGCTGGGAGCTCTGCACAGTTGTTTTTCTGAAATACACGAGGCAGCTCTGCTGATCTCGGATGTCACTGCTGATAAGGGCTCAGGGGTGGCAGAAAGACTTTTAGCTCTCAAACTTCAGTTTAAGACAAACTATTTTAAAGCATGGATTGATTTTTTTTTTTAAAGTAAAATAATAGTTATAGACAGTATACAGAGAAAGCCTCTTTTTTGCACACTTGAGTCTTACATGGAAACCTTTACTTCTTTTTAGACGTGGGAGCAAGATCCTGAAACTTTTCTAATAATTATAAAGGGAACTGGGGGAAAAGCTTTTTGTGCTGGAGGTGACATCAGAGGTAAGGACTATAGTCACTTAAACATTTGACATATCTTTGTCACTTGCTACTTTGCATTTATTTCCTTTGTTTACTGTGACTTGGGTAAACAGAGGCTTGCTAACACAACAGTAAGAGATTAGTTGTGCTGACTTCTTATGACACCTTGATGTGCAGATACTACTTAAGTTATTTGTCAGGAGAAAGCTGTTGAGACATTGTATAAAAGAGTAAAAATTGTTATTCATAAACATTTTTATGAATAACTAGTAATAGCAGCCAGTCATTCCTGGGGAGAGAGGGTTCTTGTCTCTACTTTTCTCTTCCCAGATTTTCATTGCTGACAGCTTCTTCACAAAGAATTTGAAGGGTCCTAGTAGGTAGCTGTGATAGCATTGGATAATGTGGGTCTGATGTTTTAGATGGCTAGATGCAGAACTGACAGTGGTGATCAATGTATCTGTGATTATTGTTTAGCTATAAACTGTGGGAAATCTCTGAAGTGTGAAAATTAGCAGTTGTTCTAAGCTGTAGGTAAACAAGCAGCACAGGTTATTGTTAAATTATGTCCTGCTCTAATTGGCTTCTCATTCTTAGTATTTAGTCTTAATCAATTTGGAGTGACTGTTCTATATATTGATATGAAAAATATCACAAACAAGAGTACTAGACATTAGGAGGAGTTCCATAGCATAGAAAAGGGACCACACTCTCACAAGTACATGACAGAGTCTCCAGCAAAATACAATTGACTCAAACTTGAGACTTAACTTGAGACTGAACAGTCATATTTAAGTGTGAGCAAATTTTCTAAAATATAATAAAGCAGGATTAAGTTCTGTTTAATTGCTGTAGGAAAAAAAAAAACACTTATGTGACATTATTTTCTGTTAATGTTACTTATATTTTCTCTTAATTATTATTTCTATTATTACTTCTGTTAATTATTACTCGTATTTGTATTAAACTTAGTTATCTTCAGAATTTTTGTTTCCCTTAAGCCATCACAGAGGCAGGAAAAGTTGGAGGTAAACTGGTCCAAGAGTTCTTCCAAGGAGAATACAGGCTGAACAACGCCATTGGTATGTTTGATAGCAGTTTCTGAAGCAGTACAGTTTTCATAACACTGGCTTTGAATGTAAATTTACTCTCTCTCTCTTTGCTAATCTATTAAAGACTGTGAAAACATCATGGAAGTAGTAGTTAATTTTTCTTTAACTGAGTTTCAGTACCAGTAGTGTAACATCGCATTTTTATACCTTGCATGCAGAATTTGTTTCTTTTGTTTGAGCTATTGTGACAGCTGCTTTATCCCATCCCATTGTTCTGGGTAGTTATAGTTCCTCTATGGAAGAATTAAGTCTTGGCTGCAGACACTGCAGTTCTGTGGTAAGTATCATTGATCTGCCTCAAAGACCTGAGCTAAAAATAGATATGTGGAAAATCATTAATATTCAGTCAGAAGATCAAATCATGTTAAGGCTTTCCATTTAAATAGACTGCATGAAAGACTAAGACTGCATAACTGAGGCCAGGAGTTACCTGCTTAGCTTACTGCAAAGAACTAACAGCAAAGACACTGCATGAAGTTTACAGGGGTAAGAGATAATAAGAAAGGATATTAATTCTTCAGGGTAAAACTCAGGAGTTGAATATTTTGGTGAGAAGAAACTATTCCAAACATACTTAATACATTTTGAGATTTTAAATACTCTATCCAGTGTTAGTCCCTACAGGAGGAGAGGTGAAGGTGTTGCTTACATTGACAGAAGAGCACAGTTATTAGAGTAAGAGTAATTTTTACTTTTTACAAAGTAAAGTTATTTTTACTTTTTACAAGGTAAAGTTATTTTTACTTTGTTTGAGTTTCTAGGTTGAGCATGCTTGTTATGTACCTTGCCTTCTCCAACAGGAGGCCAGAAAAATAGTTTAAGGTTTCACATACTTGGAGAAAACATAGTATTACTATGGCAGTTGGACTTGATTCTGTTGCAAGGGTACTTAATTTAAAAGTCTGGGGTTGTTTTGTTTTGTGTGGGTTTTTTGTTTGTTTTCTTGTTGGTCTTTTTTATTATTATTAGAGTGTTCAATATATATAATAAATATAATTACAAAACCTAGATTTTTGATAACTTTAGTATGATTTTATTCCTTTAAGGCTGAGATTTCTACCTTGTTTATACCTTATATTCTTCAGCTTAAAAATACACAGGGGAGCTGCTTTCACAGCATTGCTGTGGGAAAGGAGTGCTGCTATAGAAATTTAGTTCAAAGGCTAGCATCTACAGCCCATGCATTAGCTTGTACGTTCATGCAAGAACAAAGTTAAAAACACAATTCTGCTCCATTTTCTAACTGCTAATTTGAAGGACTGAACTGCCTTTTAAAATACTTTTTTTCTTAAACAATGACCTATAGTTGTAACAGAAAAACTAGCAACATGGATGCAGGGGATACCTGTGTCAGCAACCTTTTCGAACTTTGTCGGGCCTGAAAACACAGAATACAAAGGCAGCTGCTTCATTCTCAGTGAACATCTGAATCTTTCCACGGATGGTAATTGAAAGCATCGGGGCTTTGGTTTTATGCCTCTTCAAGGCCCCAACAGATAAAGTTGGTAGCTGATACTGTGGTACTTTAGGACATGATCATCTCGACCTTCCTGCACCACATTCAAGGGTTGTAACATCCAACAGAGTTGGCAAGACAGAACGTGTTTGCATTGTCACATTTTGACTGAAACCTGCCAATTCATGTGGCTTTGTAGCGAAGCACTGAAGGGCTGACACACACTGTGCTGTTAAGCCAGGCTGTGAGAGGGGGTGAAAGGGCAACTGTTGTGTCCCAATGTCCTACCAAGCTATTTATAATAGCTAAATTGTCAGGTACTGACATAGCAAACAGTCTGACATTTGATAGCTGTATAATTTCTCTTACAACACTCACAGTGCAGTAAGTCAGTAACTGGTGTTTCTTTAAGAGTTATATGAACAGTCTTCATTATAAGTTGATGTTTTACTGTTTAAATTACCATTTATTTTCTGTTGCTCTTGCTGAAGTAAGACATGGGGAAACGTGTCATGTGGCAGGTAGCCACAGGTCCACTCTTTTGAAAAAGATGCATGATTGTTTTTCTTTACATTTCTTACAGGCACTTGCAAGAAGCCATATGTGGCACTTATTGATGGCATTACAATGGGAGGGGTAAGTTAAGTACCTTGTTGCAATACCTGGCATAGTTTATTTAAAGTAATGTAATATTCTGTACTTGAGTCGAATGAAGCGCACACATGACATTTCAAACATTGCAAGAATAAAAATCATAGTCCAAACCTTTGTCTCTTGCATGTCAGGGTGTGCTGCTGCTCTTCTAGTGCTGCTGCTGTTCTTTGATAGCTAATGCAAGTGCTTTCTCTGAGGATCTGTGCTGAGGAAAAGAGCAGAATCCCCTCACTGCAGGAACCAACCCTCACAAACGTTTTCAAAGTACTAAATGGGAGTTTGTAGATCATACAAGAGCTGAGAAGAATTTTCCACTCAAAGTGTATTAAAACATAGAACTATGTAAAAATACAGGTAAAGGACAACTCTTTGAAAAATTGGGAAAATATCATACAAAGCTACACTTTAAAAGACATTCATAAGTTCCATATTTTTCCAGCAAATAATCTAATCTACTTTCCCACCTCTGTGAAAAAAACATGAGTTATAGAATCCCAATTCCAATCCCCCCACCCTGCCTAAGGTCACACCTTATTAGTAAATCAACATGGAGAAGACTCAGTCACATTGCTAGTTATACTTGGTGTTGATAATTTTTTCAGCAATTGTTGGCTTTAAACATCACAAGTAGATACTTAAAAGGGCAATGCCATGCTTTTTTACATGCTGAAATGCTGTTCTCTTCAGTTTGACGTCTGTTGGATATATAGCAGGGGGTAGAATACAATAATCTTAAACTATTTTCAAGAATGAGTTTGACAGTGGTAATTTAAACACACAATGCCTTTCTTCTCCTTTGCTACCAAGCCCCAAAGATTTTGGCTGGAGAGCCATTCCCTCCCAGTGTAGTGTACATACATCATTTCCAGCATAAAGGAGCCTAGTTTTGTAGCTCTTCTTGCAGGAAAAGTGTTTTATTGACCATAGGAGACCTGAAGGTTTGTGAATAGGAGATAGGGAGTCCATTTATTTTATGGAGTTTTGAATAATAGTGTGGAAAGCTATGAGTGAGCCAAACTGCTCAGCAGCTGATGTCTTTTCAGAGGTCCTGTAGATTGCTCGTTATGATTGTGCCCTAAGCAAGAATAGAATTTTGTCATTTGAAAGGAAAGTATATTTTTGGACTGAAAAGAGCATAATGGAGTCAAATGATCCTGCGTTACTGAGATCCTCTGTTAGTTCTCTTTCCTTTAAAGAGCTTTTAAAAGACAGCAGTTAGTCTGAAACTTTAGTTGGATAACCAGATTTTAGTACAGCATGCCCAAATTTCAGTAGGACTTTGACAGAGTAATTGTCATTAGGGTTTGAATGAAAGTTTACTTGCTTATCCTCATATTATGGTAGCAATTGTCTTTGTTTATGGGTAAGGATCTAAGTTTTGATTGAGCAAGTATGCAGCCTGACTTAGGGGGGAAAGCAGGTAGGTCTCAAGTTCCAGACTACTTCTAAACTTTTTTTTTTGTTTGTTTATCCTTGAGTGCTGTTTGATTTCCACTTCTTAATACAGCTGCAGTTTACTCTGAGATAAGGTACTTCCTGCAGGAGTGCACCATCAACACACTTCCCCCCACCCACTGGCAGTACATGGGACCTTCTACTGATAATTTAACAGAGGAGGTCAGCAGTAGTATTTCTCAACACTGACTGATTTTTATGTATGTGTTTTATGTTAGTTTTGAGTTATCTGCTACACTTCTTCCTTTCAGCCACCTCTCCTGTCTGTCAGATTTGTGTTGATTTCTCTGAATGGACCAGTGCTTACATAAGAAAAGTGCATTAGCTCCCACCTTTCCCCCAGCCTCTTCTCTTGCCATTTTCAGCACTGGGAGCCCCATCACAACTGACATTAACCAAACCTAAAGCTTGCAGCAGCAGTTTTCTAGTGTGGTACAAATAGGTTCACTGCAGTGGGTTTTTATAGGTTAGAACTTCTAGAAAAGCCCTTGAACTTGTCCCAGTCGTACTGTCACCTTGTTCTGCTTGCTGCAGAGAAGAGCTGTCCTACTGTAATTCTTCATTAGAACTGCAGTCATACGAAGGAGTTACTTTGTTTATTACATAAGGAGATGCTTTGTTTAAAATCACTCAGTCACTGGGTTCTGTATTTTTAACACAAGCAGGTCATATTTCATCTATTCCATATGCTCAGGATCTGGCTATCTTAGTCCTTACAAGTCAGTAGGAGCTGGGAACATTTGTCACTTACAAACTACAGTAAAGGCCTTTAAAAATGTACATTCAAGCCCTTGGCTTTAAAAGCAAGTAATTTTAGCTTGGGCTTATAAGTCAAGGGACATTCCTTAAACACTACAATTTCACTATAGACCATTTATCTATGAATGAAAATGCAAGCAAGCCAGTCTCAACCTCGCTCAAAAAAGCAGCACTAAGCACAGAGTGCTTTGTTGTTCTAATTAAAAAGAAGTTAAAAATCCCATAAGTGTATTAGAAACTCAGTTCTTATGTGCTTAGGTAGTAAAAGTTGCTCCTGATGCGCGGATACCATAAATCTGTGATGGTAAGACCGGGAATTGTTCATCCAAAACCTGAACTGGTTCCCCTTCAGCGTTGCTGGCTAGGGGCTGGTAGATGGCTTTGAGCGCTTCGTTAGCCAACAGATGGGGCTGTGGAGCTTGTTCTCTGCACATGGAGTGCTCCCCGGGCTCCTGGAGTTCATCAAAAATTGATATTCAGTATAAATGTATCTTTTCATCTTTTTGTACTTATTTCGTACTTATTCAGAGCACTGAGTTCAAGTGACAGATTTGTTTGATGAAGCAAAGATGACTGCATTTTAATGAAAAATAGCAAAATGGGCTATAAATGCCACATTTACTGCTAAAGGGTGTATATTATTGAAGGGAATGTACTGGGTTCGTACTCTCATGTTGCTAAAAACTACTGTTCAGATTATTTTAGTTGATTTATATCTATGGATTTTTTTTTATTTCCTTGAAATTTGATACCTGAACTGTAGACAAGAAAGGCAGAGGGTTTTTTTTTTATATTATTGTCTGCCAATGACATCCTGTGAATGACAAAAGACCAGAAATGGTTATCTTGGTTCTAGAAAAGTCCCAGTTATACTGTGAGTTCTTTGGAGATGAACAGAAGTGTACTTTATAAGCTCAGTCAAAAGCTAGGGTTTTAAATAGGGGTTTGGCACAAAATATATTACTGCATCAGATACTCTCTAACAGACTAAAAGGATTCATAAAAATGTATTTGAAACCTGTTTCAGAGCCAAATAAAGTACACTAGACTGATTCAAGTGGTAGCTTTCCAATGATTTGGCTTAGAATTCAAGGTGAATATATGCTAGCCAAAAAAAGAGAAAATCAGGGCATGGACTTTGGAAGTCGGTGTTTTTAGGCAAGGTCTTTTACTTAAACCAAGACACTACATCTAAGTTACTTACATAGAATATCTTTAGGGTGACTATTGGACAGTAGAATGTTTTTTTAAGAACTGTGTGAGTGTTAGTCTCTTGTGTAGTAATGTGAAATATGTTAAGGTTTAGACTACACAAACGTGGGGAGTTGGGAGGAGCCTCAGGATTATTCTTTTGCACTTGCAGTAGGGTTAAGTACAGCTGGATGACTGCTTAGCTGATTTTCACCTAACGTGCTTAGAACTCTCCAACAGCAGCAATCCTGGTTTTAATAGATGTCCCACCTGAGTGCTTTGTTATTCTTTCAAGCTAAGATTCCCTAGTATATAATTTAAGTCTTTAATACTTAATACTGTTTAATACTTTAATACTGTAATCAATATATTCTGTCTTAGTCACAGCTCTCTATGGACATTTTGAGATACTTACATTCCTTGCTCCTAGCCATCTCTCTTTAATAGGGATAAGGATAGTTATTCAGCCTTTACTGTAGATTAAGTCTCTTGGTCTTCCTGCAATCCTCTGGAATCTCTCCCATTTGTGTACTTTACAGTTCATTGCCAGAGACCAGACAATATTTCAGCTGGAGGATTCATCAGCACCAAGTAGAGCAGAATAATTATCCTCCCTATATTACTGAGATATTCTGGCACAAATAGTCCATGTAAATAGCAGCTTCTGAAAGCATCCTGTGCTAGGAGGCCACCACTTCTAGTTATTCTCAGAACTATTACTCTTACCTCTTTCCTCCTTGCAGAACATAAACTTCCATCACAGTACATTTCTTTATTGCTTACCTTTTACCAATTTTTAAATCTTCTTCCTTGAACTGAACTCACTTTTCAAAGAATCTGTCTTGCAGAGCTACCCTTTTCCTCAGAGACTACAAAGGAAACAAAAAAGTACTCCTTTTCTCTGGATTTCAGGAAACCTGAGTGCCATATATCAGGTGGCATTGGGCTGATTAGGCTGCCCAGGTGTACTGAATCTGGGCTGAGCAGATTCCCACCTCACCCCTTGGCTGCCTGCTGGTACAGACTCTGCTGTAGTGTGATACCTTCAGTAGCTCTTTTCACAAGAGCATTATATTGTTTGTATTGATTTCATGGTTGCTGTAAACCCCTGAAAACTGCCTAGGGATTTGTTCCATAGAAAACACGCTTGTCATCTCTGCATTTGATTTGGCTTTCTCAAGTGTAGTTCTTTTCGTATGTTAGTTTCTCCAAAGTGAGACTGTTTTGAATCTTACCCTTCAAAGTGTTTGCCTTACTCAAAAGAAATTGTAAATTATAGAAATCTTTGCTATTTCATCATCCAGGCAGATAATGAAAACTTCACATAAAGTGTCATTAATGAGTAGCTTCTGCATGACCTCAGCTGGGGTGCCCTCTCAATTTGATGGCAGACTGCTGGTAACTCTTAATATTGTTTCAGAGGATGGTGCCCTCCATTTCCCTGTGATATCATCCAGGCTGTTTCCCTGCCTTGTTACCTGTGCATCAGAAACGTTGCAGTTCAAAGCACAAAGCTTTTTCAGAATGCTGCTTATTGAGTGACATCATTTTAATCAAGGCCTTATGCAGGTGTTCCA